AAAAGGGGATGGTACAATATCACCTGTAAAGTCATTATCAGTTGCACAATTTTTGGTAAATCTGACTCCAGTCTCACTATGATTACATCATATGAACACAAACACAGGAAGTTGATGAGAATGATCAGATGAGGCAAACAGGTCTGTGCAGCCTTTCTTTTGACCTCTTTGCAGCTTTGATAGGAAACAATAAGTATCCTGGTGTAAGAATACAGTATGAAAAACGCAGGAAACAGAGCAACATTGAGTAATATGATCATGTCACGTATTACACGCATGCTTGAATTCCCACACTCCATTTTGTAAATTGTATTGTTGCAAAATATTCCTTTTAAAATAAAGCTGCAGAGTTTGTTGCTGGCAAAAATGGCTGTTACAACAGCAATCTGCAGAGCAGGCACCATCCAAGCTAAAATCAAGAAAATACACACTGTAGTTTTTCTCATGATAGTTGGATATTGCAGAGGTTTGCATATGGACACATACCTGTCGTAGGCCATGACTGCTAAGAGTAAGAACTCGGAACCACCCAAAGAGTAAAACAAATGAAACTGAAACAGACAGGCTGAGTGTGATATGATCTGTTTTTCAGACAAGAAGTCAATCAAAAGCTTTGGGTAGATGGAGGTGCTGAAAAGAACAGAGTTCAGTAACAAAGCACCAATGAAAACGTACATAGGCTCATGGAGATTTTGGTGAGTCCAAATGATGTACACAATTGTACAATTAGAGCAGATTATCAAAATATACACTACAAGAATGAGAAAAAAGTAAATATACCCATATTTGTCCACTTCCACGTGTCCATCGAAAGTTAGATATGTAACATTTAAAGAATCATCCATCAAAGTTAACAGTAACTGTGATTACAGAGGGCAGGTTATTTCATTAGCAATCTTCAGCAAACAAACAGTTCAAGTAAACCGAAGAGGCAACAAGCCGACACTAAAACAAGTGAGAGTTTCTCATCTCGTTTATTAGCTTTCATTGCCCTCCATGGAACTCATTATTTCAGTCAGACAATACACTGCGCAGACCTGTTGCGTGTTTCCATCTTTTTTTTTTTTTCAAATGAATCAATCCATTTTTTATGTCCAGTTAAGAGTCATGCTTATCCCAGATGTCAGTGGATGGATTACAGTCTGGACATGTCAACAGTGAACAACAGGCCAGACAGAGACTCAAACTCCAAAGCCTCAATTAATGCTACAAATTGAAAATATATAGCATTAGTTTTCAGTACGTGTTTGTTCCTTTGGCACTGGCCTTGAGACTTTTCTACATCCACAGAGAAGTTATGATGCAGTTCCAATGTTTTCAGTTGTGCAACAGAAATCAGAAAAAGCTCTCTTGGTCTTTTTCTTACTTTTTTTAGTCGGTGCAAAATTAAGTGTTCTGAAATCTTTTGTTACTATTTAAACTTAAGGGACCCCATAAATGTTCAATAAATTAATTTGCTTAGCTTGAATCAAGTATGACCATAGGTCTGAATTAAGATGATAATTGCTCAATATAAGTCTTTATATGTGATTAACACTGAAAAGGGTAAAACACTTTCAATAGAATTAGTCCTTTTTAATCCTGTTTCAATTTCCAGTCATTTTAAAATTGATGACCAGGGAAAACCAAAATATAAATGAAAAGTGTTTACTGTTACGATAAAGGGGGTGTATACTTGGGCTCACTATGGATTGGTGTGATTTGGCATGAATGGGAGTATGAATGACAGCTGGGAAAGCCTCCATTTCCCTGGTGACTTTGCAGATAATTCAGTGACTGTGACATTTTGCGTATGCCCTTTCTACTCATAGGCATCTGGTTTTGAGTGAGTTTAGCTGGGATCTATTGTGTTTAGGGTGCCTACATGAAGGCCGTAGAAGGGCAGTCCTGATAAATCATCCACTTTTTTATGGTTTAAATGATAAAAGAAAGAAGTCAGCTTTACCTCTCTAAAGAAAACCAATATAGCCATAACTTCTTTCACTGAGGTCGCATACACATAAAAACAGGTAAATAAAAATAAAAAAAGCCGAATTGAAATATGAGTTTATTTTTGGTCTCAACAGAGCAACCTCAATATATATTTTACAATCTATAAATGCTTCAAATAATTAGCTTTTTGTGAAAAACTTGAATGGAATGATATAGACTGTAATATAGCACATAATAACACATAATATAGCATATAACACGATATAGACTGTAAACAAGATTTTAAAAATGCAGATATCTGTATTTGTGTAGTTGCACAAACCCATCGAGACTAAAATATGTAACCTTCAGTTAAGCATCCATCAAGATTATCAAATATGGTGAGTAAATCAGAGAAATTACGGAAAAAAGTGGTTGGGAACTCAATCCAATGTAATTCAGAATGAAAGGTTTAATTTCAATGTTTGTTTTTTTTCTGAAAGGGCTTCATCCTCAGTGGACTTCATTATGCTGTCCACCGCGTTGAGCTTGTAAACACTTCCAACTCTTGAGGCTTGCGTCACACACAGAGTATATTGTGTAATCTGTTTCAAACATATACACAGAGACCAGTTTGCTTTGAGTTTACAGGATGGTGGCAGGAGTTGTTCACTCTGGTTGCATTGGGATGGAAAAACAACACACATGTACATAAAAATCATAACTAATGACAAAGACAGAATATTCTATATTCCAGGCAAATGAAACCACAGTTAAAGGAAGTTTAAGATCTTGGAATATCCTTCTCAAGATCGTAAATCCTTTCCCAGCTGAAACTGTGAGACACCCTTCATTCCAACCAAATGCAGGTTAAATAACAACAACTCTTCTTGATTCATTTGAAAATGAAACAATACTGAAAGAACACTGAATGTGATCCGGAAAAACAACCAACCCAGTACTTAAGTGTTGGCCTCAAATACCCCACCGCCATTCATATATTTGAGCATAAGAGTGTTTGTGCAAATTTAACGACCTGTTTTGTCCAGATCTGCAACCAAATGTCTTAGACTGACAGAAAGGAAGAGCTGAGCTGTGATTAGAACCGGGTGGAGATCTGGATGCTGGGCAGGACGAAGGCTTGATGCTCCTGAGTGGCTTGTGTGTGTGCCCAGGTCCAGAAGCTTTATTATCCAGATTCCAGACGGAGACTCCAAGGAGGTCTGAAGTCTGAAATGACCTTAAAATGTTTGATTGGGATTTGGTCTAAACACAAGTTAATAGTTTAGAAGAAAATACTGTTGCTGGCAAACAGAAATAGACTGGATAGTGACAGTCTAAATACAAATCAGGTTCTAAATATTCTTCTAAGGCTTGGTGTCATGAAAAATCTCTAGGATTTCAACTATTTTATTGTTGAAGAAGCACATGAAATAATCATAGATTTAAAGTTATACAGGGCTTTACAGAGCTCAGACTCTGGATTGTTTTTATTCTCTCCAGCGTGATAGAACATAAACAGTTGCAACTTTATAAAGCCTTCTTGTAGCCTCTTTTAAAGTATGCAGAAGTGAAGTATACCACTTATTCTAGACTATTCTGACAAATTACCTTCTTTTTGCCAAGGCCGATATAATTCTTTAATGTCACTGAACTGGAGGAAATTCTGTCAGTAACTACAAGTATGCAGTTAAATGAATCGTTTAATTTCAACAGGAGCAATAGATACATAAAAGCCTTGAAATATTAGTCAATTTTATATTTGAGGAACAAATATGATTAGATTGAAAACGAGATTGTACGTTACGACCTGTAAACTCATTACAAATTAAACAGTCTCTGATAAATCAGATTCCATTAAAACAACAATGACTTTAGATGCACCAAAGCACAAAAAGCTGATTAAAACCAACAAATGAGACAAACACATCAGTGAAGCTTTTCTCCTGACATCTTCACAACTGTGATACGATATTATCATTATACTGGTGTTTGAAAATATGGCAGAATAACAGGAAGAAGAACAATATTAATCAGTATAATCATAATCAGTATATTTAGGAATCCCAAAATCTCCCAAAATAAATTTAAAGCTAGTGCATGTAACACAAATAAGAAATATTCTGACAAAATGTTCACAGTTTAAATTATCCTTTAGTGTGAAATTAAATGACAAATAACCATCAAATTGTACAGCTAACTATAAATAATTTCTACGTATTTTTTTTGCCCTTTTGCAGCTAATTCTCATTAATGCAACAATGTAAATGTCAAGGATTTCTTTGAAAAAGCACATTTATCTCACATGTAATTAATATATTCTGTATTTATTCTGTAAGTCTGTGCGCGTGAGTAAGAAGAATCTCACTTCAAAACGACCAAACAATCAAATGCTGAGATTTCAGTTTTTAGAAATGAGTTGATCTTGAAACTGCAAACAGCTTTTTGATCTGTTTGGAAATTTCTTTCATTTTCAGCCCATATATGATTGGATTGAAGAGGGGGTTGTACGTTACGACCTGTAAACTTATCATCAAATTTGCAGTTTTTGACAAATCAGATTCCATTAAAACAACAATGACTTTAGATGCACCTAAGCAAGAAAAGCTGATTAAAACCAGCAAATGAGGCAAACAGGTCTGTGCAGCTTTTTTCCTGACCTCTTTACAACTGCGATACGATACTATTATTATCCTGGTGTATGAAAAACATATTAAAATAACAGGGAGAAGAACAATATTAATCAGTATGATCAGAGTCAGTATATCTAGGACTTCAAAGTGCACACAAAGAAGTCTGAAAAGTTGGCTATCACAAAAGATCGCCTCAAGAGAAAATCTGCAGATTTGTTTTGGGTATGTCAGGAAAACAATCTCAAACCAGCTCATGCAAAACGTAGGTATAATCCAAGATAAAGCCAAGAGGATACTAATAGTCCTTTTTGTCATGATCGTTGGATATTGCAGAGGGTTACATATAGACACGTATCTGTCAAAGGACATGACTGTGAGCAGTAAAAGTTCAGAAATACCTACAGAATAAAACATGATACGTTGAAAGAAACAAGCTGAAGATGATATGATCTGCCTTTCAGATAACAGATCGATCAAAAG